TATACATACATACATATATATGAATGTGTATTTACCAGGGATCAAACTCAGGGGCACTCACCACTGAGCCCCATCCCCAGCCCTATTTTGTGTTTTATTTAGAGACAGGGTCTCACTGAGCTGCTTAGTGCCTTTGCTGTGGCTGAGGCTGGCTTTGAACTCACGATCCTCCTGCCTCAGCCTCCCAAGCCACTGGGATGACAGGCGTGCGCCACTGCACCCAGCTAATTGTTTTCTCTACTTGACTTAGTGTCTGTGCTGCACTGGGCACTGCAGCGGGCACAGAGGTTCCTGTGACTACAGGGCTGGCCAGGGATTCCGGCCCTGCAGAGTCTGGTCTGGGAGGGACTGACATCACAGAGATGGGGCTGTGAAGAAAGGGACCTGCCCCTCTGGGAGGCAACGGGACTGCCCAGGGACCGCCGGCTCAACACCTGTACCCACCATGCTGCAGGGGCCGGTGCCCCGTCCTCACCTTCAGGTCCCTGTACACGACGAACCGGCTGTGCATGTGCTCCAGCCCCAGGATGATTTCCGTGGCATAGAAGCGCATCTCCTTCTCAGAGAACACCCCGTGCTGGGAAAGGTGATAGTGCAGGTCGCCCCCTGGAACCAGATGGAGAAGCTCATTCACAGCACGTTGTTAAAGCAAAACAGAGTCACTGTCACCGTAAATAGTCACGGCCCAGCAGAACAGGGCCAGGGCTTGGTCTACACACCTACCTCTGATTTCAGTAGATTGGCTAAAGGTTTAGAGAAAACTTAAGCGACGAGAAGACTGAGGAGGCAGGGAGGGGCTTCCTTGGGCTGGAAGCTCAGCTCCCAATTACGCCATCCAGGGGGGCCAGCTAACCAGCCCTGATCCCCTGAAATCCTGTCCAGGAACCAAATCCACCTGCATACAGACCCAAAGATGGCCCTGTGATCATCCGCCTCCATAGACAAACAGAAAATACAAACTGTTCACCTGGAGAAGTTGTTTGGTTTGTACAGGGGGACTGAGCCCAGGGTGCTCTACCTCTGAGCTAGGTTTATTTTGAGGCAGGGTCTCGCTAAGTTGCTGAGGCTAGACTTGAACTTGTGATCCTCCGGCCTCAGCCTCTTGAGTCACTGGGATGACAGGCATGGGCCACCCACCCAGCCTGGAGAGAGATTTGATAAAGCAAATACAGTAAAATTTTTAAGGCAAACTCCAGGTGGTGGGGATTGGAGTGTCCCTGGCGATATTCTTCAACTCTGTTGCATGTTTGAAGATTTTCTTAATGCCACATTGGGAAAAGGAACTCCTCCTACAGCTTCTTGTTAAAGGGACACAGTGTCACCAACAGTCAGGGGTGTTTCTATAAACCACAGGGAAAGCCTTATTCATTTATAAAAGCTAATGTGTGTCCAACCTTTTTGACCACCTTTTTACAAGATTCTTTCTCCCCACAGGTGCGCTACTGCTCAGCTGCCACCAGATCAAAATGTGAAGGATCCCCACTGTCCTAAGGCCCCCAAGCCCTGCAGTCAGTGTGTGGGCCCTGACCCCTGGCAGCTCTTCTGCCCATCACTGTTCACTGGCTGCCTGCTCTGACCCTCATGTCCACAGGGTCACGTGGGATACATCTCTGGCGTTTTGGGTTGGTTATCCTGTCTGTGAATTCCTTTGTATTTTTTTTTAAGAATTCTTTTTTTATTTTATTTTATATATCTTTATTTTTATTTTTTTAATGTGGTGTTGAGGATTGAACTCAGCGCCCCCAGGTGAGTGTGCTACTGCTTGAGCCACATCCCCAGCCCCTCCTTTGTATTTTTGGATAGATCTGGTTTTCAATCAAACATTTGGAATATAGTAAAACCAACCGGGTGCAGTGGCGCACACCTTTCTTCCCAGCGGCTGGGGAGGCTGAGGCAGGAGGATCGCAAGTTCAAGGCCAGCCTCAGCAACTTATCAAGGCCCTAAGCAACTCAGCGGGACCCTGTCTCTAAATAAAATACAAAAAAAGGGCCGGGGATGTGGCTCAGCAGTTACGCACCCCTGAGTTCAACCCCTGGTTCCAAAAAAGTGAATAAAAAAGAATAGAGTAAAACTTTAAGCGAACTTCAGAACAGAAGCAGGCATCTGCACATTAGAATGGCAGCCTTCTCATTTCTACTCTTGTTACTAAACCACTTTGCATATACACCAGGCCATCTATTCCCTTAGAAAGTGGCTTTTCCAGCTAAATGGAATTTGGCGTTCTCAGGATCCGGCTCATGGTTTAGCCGAGGGCGGGAGAGCTGCGGATCTAGGAGGCAGGCAGCTTGGTCCACGCTCTGCGCTGGCCCCAGGGGTCCTTCGTTGCTGGTGCCTGTGTTGGGCCTGTGCTCTTGTGAGATATTTCATCTCTAAGACACGAGGGACGAGGGCCGGGAACTGAGCTAATTAAAACCCCGGGCCAGCTGCATTCCAGAAAGTAAAAAGTCACAGCCAGCATTTCATGAGAATATCTTCGAGCAAAATCCCACTTCCCGGGGAGAGCCTGGCAGGCCCGAGGGAAATCACAGTCCACGGTGTAAAATGGATTTTAGTGGAAAACCGAGGGGTGGAGGCTGTTGGAGCCCCCGGGGGTGGGGGTGGACCCGGCCAGCTGCCAGCTGCTTGGACAGGGGCGCAGCCTGAGCCTGGACAGGGCGGAGCTCCGCGCTCACCGTTCATGAGGTCGAGGATGAAGCAGAGCTTATCCGGGGTGTGGAAGGCGTAGGTCATGCACACGATGAAAGGGCAGTCCTGCGGGAGAGCACAGGCTGGTGAGCAGAGCATGGCCGGCCCACCGCCCGCCCCGGCCCAGAGGAGAGGTCAGCGAAGGCCCAGGAGAGACGCAGCTGGAGCCCCACCCACCCAGGGGGCCCGAGTCCCGGCGCGCCCCCAGTGCGCCCCCAGTGCGCCGTGACCACGCTGATCACACCCTCGTCAAAGTCCGGAGTCTGCAGGAAAAAAAACATCTGCCCCGCCAGCCGCCAGCCGCCGTTGTGCTGGCCAGTGTTTAGGTTCCGGTCACTCAGGCCCCCCGCATCCACCTCTGCTTCTGCAGTTGGAGAAGTGTCTGACAGGAAGGAATGGCGTCGGTGCTACTGTTCAGAAACGCTGAGAATAAAACAGAGCGCTTCTGAATGTGGAAAAATAGACCGTGGTCAGGGAGGGGATCGCTCAACTGGAAACAGATTCAACTATCCCCTAATGAATCTGTGGATTCCAGGTGACCTTGATCCCGAGGAACACTGACAAGCTGATTCCAAAATCTATGGAAACATAAACTGTCAAGAAAAGTCCAGACACTTGAAAAACAGCAGAGCTGGGAAGTGGCAGTGCAGAGGTCAAGGCCTGATGAAGCACCAGGAATTCAGACAGGGTGGCACTGCCCAAGGACAAGGAGACCAGTAGAGCAGAGCAGAATCCTCAAGAGGACCCACTCAGAGATGGTCACGTGGGTCCTGATCAAGGTGACTCAAAGGGGCAGGACGAAGGCTGGCCTTTTCAGGGGTGGTGCTGGGGCAGCTGAAATCTGTGCAGGCTGTGTCCCCACCCTACCTCACACCACACACTAACTCCACCCCCCGCCCCCTGCAATTTCAGTCCACATGGGAAAGATAAGGCAAAAAGCTTCTTCAAGAAAACACAGGGTATCTTTATGATCCTGGGTAAAGATTTCTTAGGCCACAAAAAAGTGCTAACAGTGAAAATATCAATAAACTGCACTTGTCATAAAATTAGGAGCTTCTGTGCATCAGATCACACCACGAGAAAAGAGCCAAGCCACAGAATGGGAGAAGACCCTGGTAAATATGCACGTGCACCACAGACCCATGTCTAGAATATATAAAGCACTCTTAGAAATCAATAAAGAGAAAGACAAACCAATCAAAAGAAAAATGGCAAAAATACTATGTAATTAATTAGGCACTTCACATCAGAGAGTACTAAATGTCCCCAAGCCTCTGCATAGTCACTGACTCTGGGGACTCTCCAGGGAAATTCAAATTAAAACCATATGCTAGCACCAAACCCCACAGGAAGCACTAAACATAGTGAGCAAGCATGACAGGTGTTGGAAAGGTACGGAGCGAGTGGGATTTCCACACCGGCTGCTGGGAGTGCAGAATCAGAAGGTGGCTTCAGCAGGCCCCTTGGTGGCATTTACCAAGGCTGAGCATCACCTGCAAATGCCCTGATCAGCTGATTCCACTCCAAAGTAGACACTTGGAGCAATCTGCACTTAGATGCACCAAGTCACCTGCCCAAGAATGTTCAAATATCCAGGCCAGGAAATGCCTCAGATGTCTATCAGCACAGAATGGATAAGTCAGGGTGGTGTCTTCATGCAGCAGAGCGCTGTGGAGCAAGGGTCCGCAGATATTTTCTGCAGAGGGCTGGACAGTTAATATTTTAGAATAGCCTCTGTCATATATTCTTCTGGTATGTGACACAGACACATCTCACGCATGACACTGAGTGAGAGAACCACACACAGAGGGGCACATTTTTTGTAAAGTTCACACAGCATCAACAGAGCTGAGTCACCGTGTTGGAGATCTGGAGGGCAGTGAACTTGGCGTGGGGTCAGGGACTGGCAGAGCGGCAAGGAGGCATCTGGAACACAGGTGACTTCTGTCCTGGGTGCCGGACACTCACTCGTGTTTTCTTGGGAAAGCACACCATGCTCCCTAGATCTATCCAGATCCTTGGCATACAGCATGTAATCACCCCTGAAGTGATTTGAATTTTAAATGGCAGAGACTATTTATATCCACTTTCTTAACAGATACAGCATATTATTAAATTCCAAAGCAAATGTTCAAGTTCCCACAAAATAATTGGTAAACAGAATTTGCACTGTGAAGACCTCTACAGAAGGGCATTTGGGTAAGTTTGAGTTACTACATTCCTGGGTGCTAAAGACTCGGGCACTTGAACTCAATTTCCATAAATGTTCTGGAGAAAATTACTCCAGCGTGAACTGGGAAGTTCACTCTGTGTTGGCCCAGTTTCTCTTAGAGTTCTGTTGAGAGGGTGTCGGTCTTCTGATTTCAAGACTTATTCCATGCTAGGTAGAACTGTCCCTCTGCGGGAACCCCCGGGGGTCCTTTCCGCCGCCTGTCCTACTTAGAGCCCACCTCTGTCCCTCCATGCCTTTCCACAGCCTCCTGCAGATGGCTGCCCTTCTACGTCAGGTATCGCACTTCCTGCTCCCAGGGATGCCCACGGGCTCTGGCCCTGCTCTGACAGCAATCCAACTGCAGAGCAGACAAGTGGGGGACCCAGTCACCAGCTGGGAACTGCACCCTCGTCACCAGGGGGACACGTGGGCTTTCCGGGGGGATTTCTCAACCTGATGGCATATGGTCCCTCCAATGCAGGGCCTGAGACAAGGGCAGAGTGACTAATTTTAGAGCTAGAAGCAGAGGCCACTGGACTAGGAAGGAGTCTTTAAACAACACCTTGTCTGACCCCTTTATTTTAAAGACAAGAAGCCAGGGCCCCTAAAAGGCAGACGACTTGCCTGAGGTCAGAGAAACTTGGCAGCCAGCCAAGGTGCCAGCCCCCTCCAGAGTTCCCGTCTGTGCCCCGATCCTCAGGAGGAAGCCTCCTTAACAGCTCCCCCGAGCCCCCCTTTCAACCAGCCCTCAGCCTGGACCTTCCCAGACTCCACCAAACTCTAACACAGTCTCCCAAGAGCACACCCCTAGGCCGCCCCTGTGCCCTCACCTGCCTCCTGGGGACCCGAGGCTGCCGTGTCCACCCTTCACTCCCCCCAAGCCCTGGGCTGTAGGCCTCAGCTCTCACCACACCTCCCGATGAGCTACCTTTCCAAGACACCTGAAAAGCGTCACCTCCCCCCGACGCAGTATAAGGGCAAAGAAAAAAAAAAAAACAAAGTCAGGTTTTAGGAGCCTCAAGTAGAGGGGCCAGCCCTCCGGGGTTCTGGGGGTGCAGGGACGGGGCTTCCCGGAAGCCCACAAAACTGCAGGTGCGTTGCCTGGTTCTCAAACACTCGCATTTCCTTCCTCCCGTGGGAACAGGGAGAAGCAAACTGGAAGGCTGATTCCCACCGCCTCGTTGGGGGAGGAGGGAGGCTATGCTCATGAGAAATGGGGAAGCAGAGGGGGACCAAACCCAAGGGCAATTGGCAGGTGCCAAAGCGGCACAGGCCCCACCAGGACACCCTGGGCACAGCTGCCCAGGGCTCTGCCCCACAGGGTGGATTTCAGCTGAGCATTACCAAAAGTTCACAAAAGAGGCCTCTGACTGTGGAAATACGATCCCCTATGGCTTTACTGGAACTCTGAAGGTGACATCATATCTTTATAAATTCAAAAAAACAGCGATACAGCTTAATATTTGAATAAAATATAAATAATTCTTTTGAATCAGCTCAAAGCAGCGGCCCCATATAACCCCATTTTTAAATTGATTCCCTTAAGGTCAGACCAGGGAGGAATCAAACCACTTCTTAACCAGATTCGCCCTCATCTGAATATAATAAATATTAAAATGCTACATGAACACCGTCCTTAACGTTTCTCCAACATCAAAACGTTTCCCCAGAGGCTTCCTTGAGAATAAATATCCCTGGCTTGGAGACAGCTCATTAAAAACGAGTATTTTAATAACTACTAAAATCTGCAGCGGCTGGGTGCACGTTTGAAACTTAAGACACAGATAAGGCCCACACACAGCAACCGGGAGCTCGCATCGCACACACCACCCAGTGGGTGCTCACACACGCCAGGTGAGTCTGATTGAGCCCCTATATTGGAAGAGAGAGCAGGTGGTGGGAGCTGCTGTGGGCCATGGAGCTCTGGTGGCTAGGGTTCAGCTGGACCCGGCTGCTCCTTTGCTCCAGGAACAGACCTTTTAGAGCACTTAAGGCTCTTGCTGGAAGAATGGGACCCACCATACAGTCAGCCCAGGCGATAAGCAAAGATCTTTCACCCACAAAGCACTGGTAGGAAGGAAGCGCTGGCCCTGCGTCCAGAGCCTTCAGGCAAAGAAACGAACCCCCTGGCTCTCAGGTTCACGGCTCCCTGGGCGAAGGGGATTCTTTGATCAGCCACTAAATTTGACTCTTCCTTCTGGTGAGGCTGACTGTGCATGAGATCCAGTGACCTCCAGAAGCCCCCACGTGTCCCTGAGTGTACACCGGCTGGCTTGGCTGGGTGTCCCACATTAACTTCACGGGTGGGCTACACAGAAGACTCCGGCCCACGCCCTCTGCCCCGCTCCCCTCCCCACAGCCAGGTGCCAGGCTAATGGACATGTGCACACACAGGCTGCCGGGGAGGCCTTGCTGGACGTGTCCTCGGACACAGTGTCGACTTTACACAGAATTAAAGCAGAAGGTGGGAGGGAGAGTGTCGTGTGTGTTGGTTTCTTTGCACTGTGACGGGGGCCAGGGCCTATGCGTCCAGACAAGTGCTCTGCCACTGAGGACACCCGGCCTCAAAGCCAAGGTTTCATTTCATTTCATTTATTTATTTATTTATTTGGGTTCTGGGGATTGAACCCAAGGGTGCTTAACCACTGACCCACATCCCCAGCCTTTTTTCCTTCTTTATTTATTTACTTTTCTAAATTTGAGACAGGGTCTCCCTAAGTTGTTTAAGGATTCATTCAGTTGCTGAGGCTGGTCCCGAACTTGGGATCCTCCTGCCTCAGCCTCCCAAGCCACTGGGATTACAGGCCTGCGCCACCGCGCCTGGCAAAGCCAAGGTTTTGATGGATGACAACACAGTTCACACAAAGCCTTCAGAATGGGAAGCTGCTTTGGAAATAAAGACGACACTGGGTGAGAGGTCACTGAGTGACAGGTCATTTCCGCAAGTGCTGCGCCAAAACCGAGCCTGGCCTATTAACACAATGTGAAACGGGGAGAGTGCTGTGGGGTGGACATGCCCACGGCCCTGGCGGTGAAGCAGCCGGCTGTGGGGGAGATGAAGTCACCTCTGGAGGCATCGCACGCAGCCCAGGGCCCACCCAGAGGACCCTCAGGCTCCGCCAGCCCCCGCCGCACCCTCTGATTTGCCGGTGGAGGTGGGAGCCCCTCCCTGGGTGCTCCTGGGTCAGTCATTTTACTATTGTCAAGTGATTTTTTTTTTCTTTCACGATTATTCTCCGCCATCTCAGCTCCTATCCTCTGTGTCGCAGGAAATCTCGGACACGTGAACAGGTGGCACCGTGAGGTGTCCCATGAGCTCTGGGAAGGCTGTCACCCCTCCTGACTGCCACGCTCGGGACCCCCCAGGCCTCATCCCGCCCCATGATCAGACGGAGGAGACAAGTTGTCCTGGCCCATGACAGACAGACAGATGTTGAGGCAACCGGGGACGAGGGACACTTACTCCTGTACTGACGAGGGACAGCATGATCCGCTCATTCAGGGCCAGCGTCTCTCCTTGCTTCATCTTGATGCGCTTCTTATCCAGGCATTTCATGGCGTACCTGGAAACAGAGACCCTGAGTCAGCCACTCGAGTGCCTCTGACTGACACCCGCAGGCCGCGGAGGGCTTCCAAAGACCTGGGCGATGTGTACCAGGGGGAGGGGAAACAGCCTGGGGTCCCAGGAGGACTGTTAACTCTGCATGTGGGGCGGGGGATCCAGCAAGACAAGCCGTCGCCCCAGGGACAGAAGTCCCCGCTAACTAATGCATAAAGTAGACGAACAGGAATAAAGTTTGTGCTTTGCCCCCCCTACTATGGGGCAAGGCTGGCGGTGTGCATGTGGCATGTCACCAGGCAGGAATTATGAATTCATCAGTGGCCAGGAATTTTGGGGGAGGGGTAGGGATTTTGGGGATTGAACTCAGGGGCCCTCAACCACTGAGCCCCATCCCCAACCCTGTTTATGTTTTATTTAGAGACAGGGTCTCACTGAGTTGCTTAGGGCCTCACTGTGGCTGAGGCTGGCTTTGAACCTGCGATCCTCCTGCCTCAGCCTCCCGAGCTGCTGGGGTGACACTCATGCGCCACTGCACCAGGAGTGGCCAGGTTTTGATGAGGGTGCACAGAGCAAAGGACCCTACATTGGTTTGTTTAATCTTGATATCTAGCTTATTGTGATTCTTCTTATCAGATCTGCGTATCATTGGTTAAAGTCCATTGAGAAGAAGAGTGGACAACTAAAGGTTTTTGAGACCTTGGAACAAACTCATATGAATGAGACAGGCCCGTTGCCTGGGGGCCGATCCTACAGTCACAGGCCGGAGCAGACCCGAGGCCTCTGTCACAGGGCTACAGAAAGCTACCAGGGAACGGGGAACATTTGCCCATCCTCACAGGTGTCGCGAGGACTGAACCTCTGTGTGTGACTGTTGGTTTCCCATTGGTGGTCTAGTTCACGGGGCTTGGGTGCGAGTGCCCCCGCAGGCTGGGGTCCAGAAGACCCTCATGTCTGGCTGATCAAGCTCATCATGGTGGAGTGAAAGGCTCCAGGCTGGTGCTTGGGTCCCCTCCCAGGCGTCTCGGGAGGAATCCACTCACTGATCTGCTCCATTAGGGGGGAACACTGGGGACACTTGGAGTGATGTGTTCTTTAAATGGTTCGTGTTCACAAAGGGAGTTCTCCAACGCCTCACTCCGTGTCGGCGGCCACCCTCTGCTGAGGTCCCCGTCTGCTGCAGAGGGGGGCAGGCGCGGGCCCAGCATGCCCAGGCCCTGGCCACGGTGTGAGCCCTCGCCCTCGGGGTTTCTTGTGGGTTAACTGAAATAATTATTCAGGACAAAGAGATCAAGTGGAATAATCTGCTTGTGTGACATCGAGTGACTTAGGAGAGATGCTAACTACCTCCACAAGCTGCTGCGAGGAAACAAGACCAACGCCACTGAATGAAACTAGCAAGCGACAAATGACACATGTCATGTAGGACCCAAAGTCCTCGGGGCAGCACGGAGCCGGGAGGAACCCAAGTCAAAATAACACCTGGCATTTTGCCAGGGGAATGTTAGAGTTTGTAAACAAGTCTGGATGGTGCCTGGCAAAATGCCAGAGGGAGTGGTTTGAGAAGTAACAAAAGTGAGCCATTAAGTGTGGAGATTCCTTATTGGTTGACTGATGTATCTAGTTTATGCTAATTAGATAAGCTGTGTGGAATGTATAAATACTGCTCCTGTCCTGCAATAAACGGCTCCCACTCCTGCTGTATCAATGTACACAAGTTATTCGTCACCCCCCGGTTATTTTGCTGCAGCCGGACTGCAGCAGATGGTGGCCCGTACCGGGAGCCCCGGGACACTTGGGGGTAAGTGACGAAAAAAAGCTGCCCGTCCATAGATAGGACGGGAGGAAAAATGACCATTTCGAGAAAATGGAGAAGATTGATACAGTATGTTTGTGTCTTGTTTTGTCTCAGTGTATTGTATTGTCTTTATGATGAAAATATGGAAGGGGTGAGAAGTAAATCACTAAGGGAAGAAGGCACCCCAGTGGAACCAAGAATAGTTAGGGCATGTATTGATAAGAGCCCAGGAACTCTAGTCAGAAAGAAAAAGAAAGTTCAGAAGAAGAAGGATTATCAGGAAAAAAGTTGCAGCAAAAGGCTATTACTAAATATTTTTCGTTACCGGAGGGTGCGTGAAGCGGAGAGGCGGCTGCCGAGTGTGCAAGCCGGTCATAGCGCAGCAAGGATTTTCCAAGAGGCGGCGGCGACTGGCCCTTCCCCGCCTCCTGGCTGGGGAGCTGGCTCTTCCACTGCCCCGAGCCCAAATCTAGACCTGACCTGGAGGCACAGTCTCTCAGGCTCTTGCTCCCTGTGCCCAGTAGCAGTTTGAGTCCGGGACACTCCCCAGGGCCATCTGGGGCTGCCCAGGCACTACAGCCAGCAGAAGACGCTACTGGTGTCCCTGATGTTTGGTCATTTTCAATGCCAATAACTAAGCTACAATGGTTCTCCCACACCTGGAAGCTGATGAGTAATGAGCACTATTAATGCTTATTTCAAATGCAAAAAAACCTTGAGATAATGTACTAAATTGTTCAGAAGGTTGTTTTCTTAGTGGAATGCTACAGGATTTTCTTTAGCCATCCGGAGTTCCTGCCTTCGTCCCAGTGCCGGTGAGGATGAGGGTGGAAGAATTTCCAGTGTTGCTGAAAACCAGACGAGACTTCGGCTGAGAACCGGACGAGACTTCGGATCAAGCCAGTTGCCTGCAGAACTTACCTGGACTGTGATTTAAGCTAGCTGCCTGCAGAACTTACCTGGACTGTGATTTACCTGGACTGTGAGTTAATCTATTGAGACACTGCTTTACCTAAACTGAGACAACAAACTGTAATCTACAACAAATTGTAACTCGGTATCTTTGCTAATGGTGTCATTGCTTGTATAATTTTTCCAAGGGCTTCTTGCATGGAGCCATCAATTGGCTTGGTATTGTGACATTTTCTATCCTCCCCTTCTGCTTGTAGCAGGTTATTTATGGTGTTTGTGTAAAAACCACTATGGTTGTTATTTAAATTAAACAAAAGGGGGAAATGTTAGAGTCTGTAAACAAGTCAAAATAACACCTGGCATTTTGCCAGGGGAATGTTAGAGTTTGTAAACAAGTCTGGATGGTGCCTGGCAAAATGCCAGAGGGAGTGGTTTGAGAAGTAACAAAAGTGAGCCATTAAGTGTGGAGATTCCTTATTGGTTGACTGATGTATCTAGTTTATGCTAATTAGATAAGCTGTGTGGAATGTATAAATACTGCTCCTGTCCTACAATAAATGGCTCCCACTCCTGCTGTATCAATGTACACAAGTTATTCGTCACCCCCCGGCTATTTTGCTGCAGCCGGACTGCAGCAGCGTTGGATTCTCTTGACAAGTCACTGCCATTTACCAGGGTCTGGAGGCACAGAGGCCACAAACTGTGGACCTGACCCTGCTCTCCTGGTGCAACCCGGGACCCTTCCCTGGACTTCCAACTTGGGGGTGCCAGTTCACACTCAGTGTCCCAAGGCAGGAAGGTGGCCGGGACACAAACTAGTGAAGGGAAATTCAAGTCCCAAATCATGAAGAGCGTGGCAACTGTGGAACCCGCCTGGTGACAGGAAGGATGGCCTGGCAGAGCTGCTGGCAGCGGTCACAGGAAGAGCTAGGCAGGGCTGTGGACAACTTGTGGGCTGTGTCGAGGGCAAGGGGGAGGTGGGTGCCGAATGAGGTGACCTCCAGTGCTCCTTCTGGTTTCTTTGTTTTTTTGGTACGGGGGATTGAACTCAGAGGCCCTCGACCCCTGAGCCCCATCCCCAGCCCTATTCTGTATTTTATTTAGAGACAGGGTCTCACTGAGCTGCTCAGGGCCTTGATAAGTTGCTGAGGTTGGTTTTGTGATCCTCCTGCCTCAGCCTCCTGAGCCGCTGGGATTACAAACCTGTGCCACCGCACCCAGCCCTTCTGGCCCTGACTCTGCTCCACCTGGCCCGAGGCTCCCATGTGCCACCCTCCTAGGCCAACGTGTGCCACTCTTCTCTGCTTTAGAAACACGCTCCTGTCTGATGACAAACATTCCCCAGCCTTCACTTCCCCAGGCCCTTCTGCTGGCTCACATGCTCTCCCCAGGGACAAGGTTCTGAGGGGAGGGAGGGAGCCCTGATTGCTGCCCATCCTCAGCAGGGCTCCCCCCTCTCCACCCCAAACTGCCCAGCCACCGTGGCTCTTGACGCGCTGGGCCACCCCACACTGGGTCTCTCACTGGGCCGTCTTACGGGACTGAAGAGAGTGGCTCCTTCTCCATCTCTGGGCCCCGCTCATCTTCCCCGGCCTGACCCCTGGGGGGCGCTCTGCACGTCCCATGAGCCCCAGGGCAGGGTGGTCAGGCTTCCTGTTCTCATTTTTGCTGCTCAACAAGGTACAACCTGGCTCCTCTGCCATCCATCACTTCAGGAAGGGGATCATGGCGTCCCTATTTCTATATAGAGATTTCCTTTTGTCCTAAGCATAGAATTCTCTTAATAGTTTGGTGAATTGAGCACTAATCTCTGGGGCATATAAAGAACTCAGAAAGCTAAGCACCAAAAAAACCCAAATAACCCAATCAACAAATGGGCCAAGGACCTGAACAGACACTTCTCAGAAGATGATGTACAATCAATCAACAAATACATGAAAAAATGCTCAGCACCTCTATCGATTAGAGAAATGCAAATCAAAACTACTCTAAGACATCATGTCACTCCAGTCAGAATGGCAGCTATTATGAAGACAAACAACAATAAGTGGTGGTGTGGATGTGGGGAAAAAGGTCCACTCCTACATTGCTGGTGGGACTGCAAATTGGTGTAGCCAATGTGGAAAGCAGTATGGAGATTCCTAGGAAATCTGGGAAAGGAACCACCATTTGACGCAGCTATCCCTCTCCTCAGTCTCTACCCAAAGGACTTAAAAACAGCATACTACAGGGACACAGCCACATCAATGTTTATAGCAGCACAATTCACAATAACTAAACTGTGGAGCCAAACTAGATGCCCTTCAGTGGATGAATGGATAAAAAAATGTGGCATATATAAACAATGGAATATTACTCAGCAATAAAAGAGAATAAAATCATGGCATTTGCAGGTAAATGGATGGAGTTGGAGAAGATAATGCTAAGCGAAGTTAGCCAATCCCCCAAAAAACAAATGCCGAATGTTTTCTCTGATATAAGGAGGCTGACTCATAGTGGGGTAGGGAGGGGGAACATGGATAGAGCAGAGGGGAGGGAGGGAAAGGGAGGAGGCAGGGGATTAGCAATGATGGTGGAATGTGATTAACATCATTATCCAAAGCACATTATGAAGACACGAATTGGGTGTCCACCTACTTTATATACAAACAGAGATATGGAAAATTATGGTATATGTGTGTAATAAGAATTGTAATGCAAAAAAAAAAAAACAAGTACACATATAAAGACATGAATTGGCGTGAACCTACTTTATACAAAGATATGAAAACTTGTGCTCGATGTGTGTAATAAGAATCGTAATGCATTCCGCTGTTGTGTATTTTAAAAAAATTAAATCAATAATAAAAATAAATAAATAAATAAATTCATTTTTTCTGTGCCAAAAAGAAAAATGGTTCTGGTGAGACATGGGGAGACGGAAGGCTTACATTTTTCCAGTGTCCGCTTTCCTGCAACCGTACACTTCCCCAAATCCTCCCCGTCCGATGATCCTATGTACACTGAAGTCGTTCATGGTCAACTGTGAAGTTGGAGCACAGGGTGACAAGGTGAGATGGCCTAAGGTAGGTCGTCACAAAGATTCTTCTTTTTCATGAAAAACATAAGTTGGGGTCTAATGCGGGAGCCCCTGACCTCCACGATGGTCCCTAAGCTGAAGGATGCAGGGCACAGGGTGAGACTGTCCCCGACTGCTCCAGGCCACCTCCGAGGTGCACCAGGCTCCCACTGGAGGCCAGAGGGAAGAGGACGGAGTGGGGGCCGCTGTGGGCAGCCTCAGAGGGCAGCACACTGACCCGCGGGTGGCCATCCTAGTGGAAGGAGAAGCCGGAGGAGCAACCTCCCACCCTGGAGCCCGTAGCCCAGGGAACGCCCAAGGGCACTGAGCCGCTGTGGCAGGAAGGGACCGTCTGCAGGAGGGGCACCTGTGTTCAGAGCAGCGGGCACAGGACAGGGAAGCCCAGCAGGGGCCATGAGCTGCTGTCGGTCCCATCAGGGAAGCGAGGGGCTCCTGCAGGGCTGGCCAGCCCCAGGCTCACACAGGCGCCTCATTGACCAGCACTGTCCCCGTCACGGGCGTCCCCACTGCAGGAGCCTCAGCTGCGGCCAACAGCGCGAGAGCAGAAAGAGCATCTGCGCTCTGGGTGAGGGACCTGAGGGCACAGCAAACCCCGCTCATCTCACCCGGCAAATTCAGGGTGAGAGTCTCCCGGGTCCCCCCCAGCCCTCGGAATGTCACACCCGCATCCGGCCAGCCTGCACTCAGCCCCGGCTTCGCCGTGGATGCTGAGTCCCAAGGACCCCAGGTCAGCCGGGGAGCAGGGACAGCACGAGAGCTCCCGGGGGACAAGGGATTGTGCAAAATGTGTGTCACTTCTTGCTTTTTAAATCCTGCCACGGAACAGGACGTAAAGGGGAAGCGAAAAAAACAAAACAACAAATCCCGCTTCCACTGCGCTGTCCAAGGAAAAATCTTAAAAAAAAAAAAAAAAAAAATCCAGTCCACTCCTTGGCCCAGTTGGAAGGCTCACGGATGAGAGAACATGAGGGGCTTGAAGGCCCTGCACCGTGGAGGTGACATGAGAGGCCACCCGGACCCACTGACTCGGAGAGCTAGGAGACCCCGGGTGGGGGGGGGGCAGGAGGGCCTGTGCCCAGACCACGTCCCTCCTCCACGATGACGGCAAGAGGAAGCCTGCATCTGTAATGACGTCACCGTCTCTGCGCAGGCCCAACTGTTAGTATTACATCCCATAATGAGAGAAGGGAAAGGAGCCCTAAGAAGGGAGAGGGACAGGAAGATGGAAGCCGCCTCAGGCAGGAGGTCCGAGTTTTACTACTATTTTTGTCAAAGGGTCAATTACTGCCAAAAAAAAATCCCTTCTTGCGTAAATAAGCACATTCTTCCATGAATATGAGAGAGGGCTCACTGCAGTGGGTGGGAGGGCGGCCTTTCAACAAGCCGGGAGTGCAGGACAGCATCTGGTCAGCCGAGCTGCAGGGCAGCATCTGGTCAGGCAGAGACCCCTTGGGAGCAGGGCCCAGAAGGAAGTATTTTCTCACGAGGGGAAGCCAGGGCAAGTTTTTATTTAAAGAAGGAAAAAAGAAAAAGATGATACTCACATGAATATTTAATTCTACGTTTTTCCACTGACAAAATCTAGTGAATTTGTCGCTAGAAGAGAATATAAAAATAATTACTGAAAAATTAAATATCAAAACAATTGGATTTATAGCACAATGTTGTAAGATACACTAGAACGGCACTATTTGGGTTACTTCTGAAATAGCACAAGTATTTTTTTTTGTGTGTGTGTATAGGGGGGTACTAGGGATTGAACTTAGGGGCTTAACCCTGAGCCACATGCCCAGCCTTCTTTATTTTTTATTTTGAGCCAGGGCCTCAGTAAGTTGCTGAGACTGGCCTCCAACTAGTGATCCTCCTGCCTCAGCCTCCCAAGTCACTGGAATTACAGGCATGCACAATCCCACCCAGTGCAAGTTTTCTTCAACAGCTTTTTTTTTTTTTTCCACAAAGCCTTCACGGTCATTCGTGGCTTTAGTTCACAATTAAAATAAAAGACTCCATGTCTCTCCTTCAATCATCACAGACTATGATGGGATTTTTATTGGAATCAGCACTCTCCAACAGGAAGATAATACAAGCCACAGGTAGGATTTTCTATTTTTCATTTTTTGTGGTGCTGGGGATTGAACCCAGGGCCTTGTGCCTGAGAGGGAGCACTCTGCCAACTGAGCTATATCCCAGCCCTGTGCAATTCAATTTTAATTATTTATATAACCCGGGGCATTACCACTCCAACATGGAATCAAGAGGCCACTGCTCATGGGCTCCTTCCTCCACATTCTTGTTTGCACACCACATCTTCAGTGGCTGCTTGAGTCTTTTGCATTTTAATTTAGACCAGCCACCCTTCAAGTGTCCAGTAGCTGCATGTGGCTAGCTGCTACCTTACTGGACAATGAGCCTCTGAATGACACAAAAAATTAAAGTTTACAAATAATTTTAAGAGCAACAAACACCTGAGCACAGGTTCCTGTGGGCTGGGCCTGCTCACCTCCCTCCTTTTCAGGGCCCCCCATTTCCCAGCCGGGAAGACCAAGGCCGCCCAGGACCCAATGGCCAAGGTCACACCTGAGAGTGGGCAGAGCCATATTGGAGCCCAGACCCACGGCCCCCAGAGCATCTTCCTCCAAACTCAGTATGGCTCCCAGAGATACGAAGAGAAGAGGGGCCCTCAGCCCAGGGCCCTGAGATGCTCCCACGATTACCCTCGGCTGCTCGGCCAGTGTCTTCACCCAGGAAGGAGGAAGAGCGCCCACCCCACTGCCACCCCACAATGGCGCCCCCAGATTGCTTTTCCTAGCAGGCAGCCACGCGTCGGGAAGGTGTCTGCCACTCGCTGATTGTGCAAGGGGCGAGAGCGGCTCAGCAGGGAGTGCTTGCCCCGCAGGCATGAGGTCCTGGTTCCATCCCAGCACAGCAAAAATACAGAGATAAGTTCACAAATAAATCAGTAAGGACAGGAGAGAAATGACCGCTGGGCTGGCTTCCTGCAGGCAGAGAGTGCTCTGGAGAGGGCTGGGTCTCATCTCTTAGGCTCAATAGAGGAACAAGGAGAAAAGGGAGGAGGGGAGACGGAGAAGTCCTTCTGAAGTACAAGTGCAGGCCCCAGCGTCCTCTCAGGAGAACGTGTAAGACAGCCAGGAGCTCGGTTCCCTTGGGACTGCCTGGAGAGGCCTTTAGCCATGAGGATCCTTTAGGAATATGGTAACGACCTGATAGTAATATCCACACTAAAAATCGAAACCAGAAGAATTCTCTGCAGGCTGGGGCTGAAGCTCAGGGGCAGAGCACTAGCCTGGCATGTGTGAGGCACTGGGTTGGATTCCCGGCACCACACAGAAATAAACAGATAAAATAAAGGTCTTGGGTCCATCCACAACTAGAAAAAATATTTAAAAAAAAAAGAATTCTTTGCAATCCCATGGCAACTGTGTCAGCGAATAGAAGGTGACTTTTCAGAATGTTCTCTGACCCTCCCAACATCTCTGTGAAGCGGTGGATTAGCATGAGGCATCCAAGCTGCCCTCTAGAGCACCGTGTGTGCACAGGGCACAGCCCTGCCTGGGTGTCCCCCAAACCGAGGGACCCACAGCAGGCCCGCAAACTCCCTCAGTCTGATGGGCCTGTCCTCCCTCTTCTCACAAATACTGGAGATCAGAGCTGGGGACGGGTGGTCTGACACCTTTTGGAACTTGCCTCAGAGGACTGGCCCACTGGGAAGAGAGAAGCACACGTCTTGCCCACTCGGCAGGACCCACTGTGAATGCACCTCTTTGGCGGGGCGCAGGTGGCCCCTGAGTGTCCAGGCTCAGCTCGCTCCAGCAGCAAGACCTAAGCACTCATTATTCCTAATGAGTCCCCGGGGCAGAAGGACACGCCATGGCCTCAGCCAGCCAAGTCCTTGCAGATGCCCCCAAAGTGTCTCGGGAAGGCCAACATTAAAGACCCAGAAGTGCCTGGTGCAGCTAGGGTGGGGCCCCGTTTCCATTCAGGGGCCTCCACCAGAGAAGACTGGCCTCCTCCAGATCCAGGCCCCCTTGGTCTCCCCACCCGCCCTCCTCAGGAGGAGGCAGAGACAGGCCCTGGGCTGAGGGCTCCCTCTTGCCCACCACCCCACAGAGGTGGGAAATCACCTTCACCAATGTGCCCAAGGACACGTCACCGCATTCTTAGAGGGCAGGTGCTTTTCAAAACCCAAACTTCAAACTCAGGACCTCATGTGGATTTTTAGTTTTTTAAATTTGAGAATTCACTAACAGAAATACACCTAAAAGGTGTATTTATAAATACACCTAAAAGGTGTATT